CCTGGGTGGCATGCACAAGGACTCCAGTGGCCTTGTAAAGAGGGCTGGACATGTTTCCCAGGAACATTTCCAAGGCTCCTATGTGCTCTGTGTTGTCTTTGAAATGAAAACCTATTCCAGAAGGAATCCCAAAGACCAGAGACACATTGCAAGGTCTAGGACCAGAATGTGCAGCCCTGAGGTGCCATCCAGAGTATAAAATTCAGGATGAGGAGGGGGTGAGCAGCAGGGACTCACACAAAGAGGATGGCTAGTGCCCAGGAGTGCAGGGAACAGAGGGGCAGAGCAGGAGCATCACAGGGTATAAACAGCAGCACCCACAAGAAGGCTCTCAAGGAAGCAAAGACAGTGTTTTAACTGGAGTCAAATCCAAAGGGGTTTCCTGGCAGAGGAACAAATTCCAGGTCAGGATGACCTGGATTGACCATGTCTAGCAGCCACCCCCCCACCCCCAGGCAATGCAAAATTGAGGGAAAGATGAGACAAGGCCTCCAGACCCGCAGTCCACCAGAGCTCAGGGGAGGAAGGCGTATGGCAGCGTTGGGAGGGGAGGAACCGTGGGGGCAGCATGCTCTTTTGCTGCTTCCACTTAACTGTTCCTACAAAACAGAGATACCCACGTGAGAGCATCTCGTTTCGAAAGAAGGAATACGTATAACTATGTATACTGAGACTTTTTCCATGGGACCTATGTGATTGTCACCTGGAGGGCCCCTCTAACCCTGCCATTCCAGGATCTACTATTCAACTCCCCACCTCCCAGCTCTGTTCCACCAACACACCCTCAGGTGGGCCTTCCCCTCCCCTTCCTCCCCAGAGAATTCACTGATGCCCTTACCCGAGACCGGTGCACCGGGTTGTCAAAGTCAGTCCCATCTGGAGCCAGGAGCAGCCAGCCACCATAAATGGGTTTTGCCTAGAGGAGAAAAAAAGGGGAGGTCATCAACAGCCTCGGACCACAGAGAAAAGCAGGTCAGGTTAATGGCAAGCACGCGCTGGGAACAGAGGTCACCTCTGCTCTACAGACACTGTGCACCCAACTCCCCTGCTTCCTGTGAGGCTGGTGGGCTCCTGGTGTGAAGAGGGGACAGCAGCTCCTGGCAGGAGTCTGAGAACTTACAGAATACAGGAATCCCTAAAACACATGCTGCCACCCTCAAGTTCTGATCAAGCCATCAAGATCAGGAAAAAATGGCATTGTATTCAACAAATATGTGAGCATCAACGAGTCCCAGGCACCAGGAATATAATGTGAACGACACAGCCAAAAGCTCTCATCCTGCAGATACAAAACAGGGCCTGGGAGAAGAGACTGCTTTAGTGATCAAAGACAGCTCTGGCCAAAGAATCATCAGCTGACCAGCTGTGCGGCCATGGGCAAGAAACTCTCTGAATAGTGGGGGTGATAACAATTCTATCTATACCTCATAAAATTTATGTACAGATTGATGAAATAATACAAGTAAAGCCCCATACAGGAATGCAAAACAGTGCTGCCACTTTGGAAAACAGTCTGGTAGTTCCTGAAATGGTTCAATGTAGAGTCACCATAAGGCCCAGCTATCCCACTCCTGGTAGATACACCCAAGAAAACTGAAAACAGGTGCCCCAATACAAGCTTGTACATGAGCATTCACAGCAGTATTGTTCATAATCAATGAGTTCATAATCGCCAAAAGGTGGTAACCACCTAAATATCCATCAACAGATGATTGGATGAACGATGTCTGATCTATCCACACAATGGAACATTATGCAGCCATAAAAAGGAATGAAGTCCTTGGCTACAATACGGATGGAACCTCAAAAACATTCTAACTGACAGAAGCCAGACACAAAAGCCCACATATTATAGAACTCCACTTATATAAAATATAACAGAAAGCATATGAGTGATTGCCAGGGACTATGGGGAGGAGGGATGGGAGTAACAGCTAATAGGTACAGGGTTTCTTTTGGGGGTAATGAAAATGTTCTGGAATTAAATGATGGAGAAGGTTGTACAACATTGTAAATATGCTAAATTCCACTGAAAGGCACACTTTAGGAGGGTGAATGTAATGGTATGTGAATTATATCTCAATTAAGAACACTGATCACAGCGTCTGGCCTCTAAGTTCTCAACAGATGCCAGGCATTGTTAGACTGACCATCCAGAGACCCCGCTCCCAAGACACTGCGTAGAAGCTGCGCGTGGCAGCAAGGCTGAGCCAGCCACTCTGGCTGCACCTCCCCTCTGGGGAAGAGAGGTCGGGAAAGGCACAACCAGGCTTGTCTACCCACTACCCTTCGGAGGACAGTCACACACATTAAAACCAAACCTCTGACTGCCGCTTACATATAGACTGATCTGGATAAGCCTCAGGGATTATAACATGCTTTTTATTGAACACTCTCCAAACTGGGAGGCCCTGCCACCTCATTTGGTAGCTGTGGACTCTGTGATTCAGAGAGGGCAGGTCACTTGCCAGAGGCCACACAGCCTCCAGGCTAAACCAAGAACCCTCTCTTTACTCAGCTTCTTTCTGCAGGGTCCTCAAGGCCCCTGGGAAGCAGTGGCTTTCCTCATGACCAGAGCAGGTAGGAGGTGCTATGTGCCCAGGGTAGGGGCCAGGCTGTGGGAAGGACAAGACAGACTCACTTAGATGAAATGGGAGTGGGCACTGGCCCCAAGGATATGGCTCAGGAGGGCCAAGGGGTGCATGGAATAAAGTCCCACCTGGGAAGGCAGAAGCAAGAGGAGCAGGGTCTGTTTCCTCTGGAGACACCAGCTGCATCTAGCTAGGCCTCGGGCAGGCGAGCTCAGACTCTCCACACACCACTCCAGGAGTACACTCTAAGTGGACTTCAACCAGGCACATGTATGGTACAGGAAAACATATCTGGCCCAGTGATTCCCACACAGCCTCTTGCCACCCTGCAGGCAGCCACCTGTGACGCCAGAGGCTAGTCCACAAGGCAGTCTCACCACCTCTAGCTTGACTGTGCACCGTCTTCCTAGCCTAGCTGCAGGGCTTTGGGTGAGGCCACATTACTGGCCACATTTTTCTGGCCTTTCCCAGAAGGGGCAGACTGGCATACAATCCCTCAGAACTCAGGCCACAGCCTCAACCCAGCATGTCAGCAAGCATCTGCTCAAGCCTGTGTGCACGGCCCTGTGTCTGTGCACCAGGTAGCCTTCAATAGCCACCTTGCTGGGCTGCGACTCCCTAGCACCCACTACCCCAGAAGGGACTGGTCCAGGTAGCCGGGCCAGGCAGACGGATGGCACGGGCAAGAAACAAAGGCTCTGGGAGGAGGAGCAGGCTGGGGGCAGGCAACAACGCCCCATCAAGCAGAGGACCCTCCAGGCAAGGGCACAGCTGAAGCATGGGCGCAAAGGCAGGACAGGCCACACCATGCCATTACCCAGACCTAATCCACGAGTCCAGAGAGCCAAGGAAGGACCAGGCCCCACCAGCCACATCACCGCCTCTCCAGCTCCCCCAACCTGACCCTCTCTCCCATCCCTCAGGTCTCCACTGAGAAGCTCAAGGCAGCTGTCCTAACCCAACTCGGTCAATCTCTAGTGACTCACCTCTGTCATTATGATAATGACACACTGCAGAACTAATTTATACCCATGATTTCATCATGTAATTACACTGCTTTGACACATCCCCCCAACTCCAAGAAGGCAGAGATGGAGTTGGCCCAGCTCCAGCTGCATCCTCCATCCTCATGTGAATGTGCAGAGGGTGGGGAGGAAAGCGCCCAGCAGGAAGCTCTGGGTGCGTGATGCCCTCTGAGCTTCCTTCTCCTTGGATAACCTAGGTCCTGTCTTTGTCCCCCAGGTGAGGGAAAGGCCTCCCAGGAAGACCTGCTGCTTCTCCCACTGTGTCTTGGACTATCTAAAAATGACGTTTCTGCTCCATCCTACCCCCATCCCCTACCACAGCAGACCACACATCTGTAAGCCCAAAAGCACCCAAAGATAAGAGACTCCCTAGCACACCTCCCCTGCTCCCTGGGGTGGTACCCCTACAGGCCCTAAGGCATTCTCTTCCCAAAAGCCTTACAATGACATAAAACTCAGATGATAAAACACAGAGCCCAGAGGAGGCTGGCAGGGGAGCGCTCTGGAAGCTCTGAGTGGTATGCCTCTGGGTGGATGGCTGCGAGTTCTGGAGGGAGGCGGGAGAAGGAAGTATCTGTTAACACTGACAACGGATCTGAGCTGGACTGCAAGGACCCAGAGAATGGGGCCTGAGTCCTGTTTCAAGCAGCCCTGTGCAAGAGGAACCCTTTCCTAGGCAGGCCATCCCAGAGGAAGCACACAGCTCCAGATCTCATATAAAAGTTACCACTGGAGAGCTATTTCCATTCCAATTACACTAGGCCTTCCTCTCGACCTACATAAGCCAGAGGCTGCACTTCTGGATGGTCTCTGGAGAGAGGCTGCTGGTGGTCTGGGTGTACTCTTCAACCCAAAGCTCTTTCAGAAACTGTGACCTGAAACTTCTGCTTTCTAGAAGATGGGACAGATGTGGTTTTCCCTACGTCTCCTGCTAAATAGAAGTTAAAACCCTGAATATCAACAGAAAAGACAAACATGAAAAGACTCTTAAAGATGGAAAGAAGAAGGCAGATGGGCCAGGTACCTCAGGATCTGAGCTTTCTTTTTGTCTCATTATCCCAGACCAGGTATTAGGAGAAGCTGGCAACTTGGAAACACAAATGGGCATGACGAAAAACTCCCAACAGCAGAAAATATGTTCTTTTTGAGTGCACACAGAACACATACCAAGATATATTATATACTGGACCATAAAACAAAACCTTAATACATTAAAACAACTGAAATCATACAGAATGTGTTCTCCAACCACAATGACACCAATCTTGACATTAATAAGAAAAAGAAAATAGGAAAATCTCCAAACACTTAGAAGCGTTATAACCAACATGCTTCTAAATAATCCACAGGTCGAAGAGGAAAACTCAGGAGAAATTTTTAAAATTTAAAAAAAAACTTGGCCGGTTCGTCGGCGCCGTCATGGCGGGTGTGCTGAAGAAGACTACTGGCCTTGTGGGATTAGCCGTATGTGACACTCCACACGAGAGGCTAAGAATATTGTATACAAAGATTCTTGATGTTCTTGAGCAAATCCCTAAAAATGCAGCATATGGAAAGTATACAGAACAGATTACAAATGAGAAGCTGGCTATGGTTAAAGCGGAACCGGATGTTAAAAAATTAGAAGATCAACTTCAGTGTGGCCAAATAGAAGAGGTGATTCTTCAGGCTGAAAGTGAACTAAGTCTGGCAAGAAAAATGATGCAGTGGAAACCATGGGAGCCGTTAGTGGAAGAGCCTCCTGCCAATCAGTGGAAATGGCCGTTATAATCATCATTAAATGACTTTAACGGGTTAATGGGAAATTGATACAATTAAATGTGTTATATGTGAAATGTGTCTAAATTATTGACATTATCAAGAAACTGATACAGAATATATTTAAGAGACTTGTTAAAAATAGTGATTATGGGCCGGGCGCTGTGGCTCACGCCTGTAATCCTAGCTCTTGGGAGGCCGAGGCGGGCGGATTGCTCAAGGTCAGGAGTTCAAAACCAGCCTGAGCAAGAGCGAGACCCTGTCTCTACTATAAATAGAAAGAAATTAATTGGCCAACTAATATATATAGAAAAAAATTAGCCGGGCATGGTGGCGCATGACTGTAGTCCCAGCTACTTGGGAGGCTGAGGCAGGAGGATCACTTGAGCCCAGGAGTTTGAGGTTGCTGTGAGCTAGGCTGACGCCACGGCACTCACTCGAGCCTGTACAACAAAGCGAGACTCTGTCTCAAAAAAAAAAAAAAAAATCCATTGGGGATTTTGGAATGTATTCCTCATGAATGAGGGGGACTACTATAGATGCAAAAATCAATAAAATATTAGCAAACAGAATTCAGCAAAATATAGTTAATAGAATTACACACCATGACCAAGTGGGATTTATTCTAGGGATGCTGGTTTAACATTCAAAAATCAACAATATAACCCATAATATTAATAGGCTAAAGAAGTTAAAACCACATGACCATTTCAACTTACACAGAAAAAGCATTTGACAAAACCCAGCACCCATTCATTCTTTTTAAAAACCTATCAGAAAAGTAGGAACAGAGGAGAACTTCAGCTTGACAAAATTATACAAAAAACCTCCAGCTAACATTACAATGGTGAAAGTCTGAATGCTTTCCCCCTAAGATCAGGAACTAGGCAATGATGTCCAATCTTAGAACTCTTTAGTGCTAGAATTTCTAGCCAGTGCAACCAGGCAAGAAAAGGAAATAAAAGGAATACAGATCAAAAAGGTGGAAATAAAATGTTTACAGGTGATACAGCTATTTATATAGAAAATCTACAAAAAAAAAAAACACAAACTAGATCTATTGAGTTCAACAAGGTTATAGTATATAAGATAAGCACACAAAAACCAATTATATCCCTATATACTAGCAATGAACATGTGGACACCAAAATTAAAAATACAATGCCATCTACAATTGCTCCCCCAAAATGAAACAGGTAGAAATTTAGCCAAACATGTACAGGACTTACATACTGAATGCTACACAATGCTGATTAAATAAATCAAAAAAGATCTACATAAATGGAGATACAAACTGTGTTCATGGACTAGAAGATTCTAAGATATCAATTCTCCCAAACCTGATATACACATATCAAAATCCCAACAAGATTTTTTGTAAATAGATGTAGACAAGATTATTCTAAAATTTATATGGAAAGGCTAATTAACTAGAATAGTTTTTTAATTAAAAAGGAATATGGGCCAGGTGTGGTGCCTCACGCCTATAATCCTAGCACTCTGGGAGGCCAAGGAGGGCACATAATTTAACCTGAGGAGTTCGAGACTAGCCCGAGCAAGAGTGAGACCCCAGTCTCTATTATCACAATTGAAAATATTTACTTTTACTATTTACTTCAACAGTGACCTATAAATTTGTTTGGACAATAATAATTAAGTACCTTTCTCTTTTCAGGATAATAAAAAAATTAAATGACATATTGAAAATAGTAATAA